GCAACAACTTTTCTACATTGTCACGATATTTTCGACCTTCGGTTATACACGTTTTGTGGCATTCTATAGACTAAACCAGAGCAACTGGAAATTTATCCCCATCGAGAACACCTTGTCGTACTGATCTCTTTCTACAACGATGATCTTGATAATCTTCATTTACTAAAGTTATGAAATAGTTCCTAATACAACAAATACCGTTTGTTTTTGTTCATTATACTATGCATGTTTCAAAAAGGCGTCATTTGAACACGTTCGGAATTTTTAAATGAATCTCAGCGATACATTGCTTGTATTAGTAAACAGCCTAGTGTCAGATCTCCCCTCACAGTTTCGTCTCCGTGATCCTTAAACAAACTAGCTTGGGTTTTTTCTGTGTTCCTAAAACAAATAGCAACAAAACAAGCAATGAGTTTGTGAACTTACGTTCACACAGTCTCCTTGTAATTGTGTCTTTCCCGGTTTTTGCTCAAACAAGTTATTTTATTCAGAAGGGTGAATCCATTTTCGAAATTTTGTCCTGATCGCGGACATCCGTCGCAACAGCTCACAAAACCCAATTAAAGCGAAACATCGTTCCTTCGATTTTTTAAAATCTTCATCCTACCCATGTTGTATTTCACCGAAAATCATTCATCCTGATGGCTTTCGATCATCTGAATTCCGTGATCTTTCCTCATTGGATCAATAATTTTTGTTCAATCTGTTCTGTCTCGATTTGAACTGAGAATTCGAGTTTGTGATCTATTTCATTACGTCATTAGGATAAATTAGGTTAGAGTTTTTGAGTCAAGATAGCTCAGTGCTTAAGGCGTGGACTTAGTGACACGGAAGTCAGTGATTTGAACTCAATCTCGGCATCTCGACTCCTTTTGTGCAACCTCGTGATATCTCAGCCGTGGTACCTCCTCTGGATAGCTGAGAAGCCCAGTACCATATACTACTATTTTGTATATTTTTATTCGACTGAACTTGTGTTTCTCACTTCTAACTCATTACTCCCTCTTCAAAACGTTACCATTCATCGGAATTTCGTGTTTGTTCATCATCAGAAGGTGAAGTTTCTCACCTATTTTTACTCAGGATATAACCAATTTAGCCCTTCTTATTTTGGCGAGACCAAGCTACGTGAGAGCGATCTTTATGTGTTCGAAGACACTTTAGTTTGAAGTGAAATGAATTAGAAGATCTGCTTTAACTCCCCTGCAACCTGATGGGCAAATGAAGTACTATATTGAGCAATGAAACATGCACTTCAAATGTTTCCGTGAGTGAATTAAATCTCAAATATAGTTTGAATGAGACTCTTCTATTGGTTGGTGGCCAGTCGTATAATGTAGATTAACAAAAACTTTGCGACATATTGAATAAAGTCTTGCGGTCTTCTTGAACGAACACTACTCATATTGTTATTGAAGATTCCCCAATAGCGCACGACATGTATCACCCATCTTAGGGCTGATTAGGTAAGCAGTGTTCCCGAATTTCCGTTAGCTTTATGTTATAATTGATCCCAAACTGCGCGAAACTCGGGAAACACAATCCTTTGCACGATACTTCGGTTTCGAAGAGAAGTTCGTCTAAATCCATGCAAGAACCTACCATATACAAAAGATTCTGCTGGGTCTCAGGTGAGTTTTTGCTAGAAGCCAAATTGGTTTGCAAATATGTATAGTTGTCGAGTTTCAGGTAATTTCGGTTCAGGCAGAACATAAAAATGACGGAACCTCAGGTACTGTGCTCACATGATGAACCCAAGGAAGAGTTTTCAGTAACCTCATGAATAGTGTTTTTTCACAAAGAATGCTGCAACAGTTTGATTGAATTGGCCCTTATGCAGCTCATTCAGCTGAAGAACATCAAAAACGAAGGACTGAGTCTACCGTTTACCCCAAATCAGTATACCAATGAATGTATTTTGCTGGGACTTTTTATGCTTTGTCGAGTACCTCAAGACTCAGAAACAAAGGTGCTGTGCATACAGTTCAGCATTTATATGAAACTACATTTATATATTTTATATGGCATATAAAGCCACTTCATCCCAACATCATGTTCATGGCCGAATCAAAGACCAACGTGGTTTCTTTTTCAAAAAGAATGCTGCAACAGTTTGATTGAATTGGCCCTTATGCAGCTCATTCAGCTGAAGAACATCAAAAACGAAGGACTGAGTCTACCGTTTACCCCAAATCAGTATACCAATGAATGTATTTTGCTGGGACTTTTTATGCTTTGTCGAGTACCTCAAGACTCAGAAACAAAGGTGCTGTGCATACAGTTCAGCATTTATATGAAACTACATTTATATATTTTATATGGCATATAAAGCCACTTCATCCCAACATCATGTTCATGGCCGAATCAAAGACCAACGTGGTTTCTTATTAACAGAAAAACAGATAGCTCCATAACTAGACGTATCCACCAATCTGGAACCAGTTATGCACTTTATAAGCTCTGTTCCTTTTAACTATGATAGGACTCTGTTACATAGCAAGGCGCATGGCATGCATCCCTCATAGATCTTTAAAATCGAAGCTCAGCGTCTTCAGGAGGTCCTAAGCCTAAATGAGAATTCCGGAGGCTATTACGAAATAACACCGTCGATGATGAGGATAGCTTTGACGCCAAAGAAGAGAGTATAGGTCTTCCTAGAATGCGTTGATAACGAATTGTACCGTGGGGGACCCTTCCCACAGCAGAATTGATCTGCTTGTCCAAAACTAGAGGATCACTGCCAAACCTTAAGAGAAGCTTTACACCTTCCACCAGTCCGAACTACCCCGAACTTCATTTGGGTTTTCACTTATTGTCTTGTTGAAGCCTCCCTATAGATTGTTCCTAACTTTTCTGCCTCTGATTCCGACAGATCTCCCAATGATTTGAATATGTATCCCGTATTTGATGTGATAACAATAGGTAATCGAATAAGATCTTGTAGGGTCACACAAGCTTGGATAATTTTGTCAAAATAACATTTTCTCTTACCACTTTTTTCAATATGGTCAGTGGAGATCCGTGCTTAACATCCATCCTCGTCTTCTTTGAAATGGTGTCAGACTGTCGTATAAAGCAGCGGTTTATTTGTAAACGGTATCCTTATTGAGACGCATGATTTATTCTTTTTGCGTATATTTTGAATTGGTTATTGAAATAACCAAATATTTATACATCTCAAGTCAGACTCTCGTACCGCTAATTGTTCGGAACGCTAAAACATAGTTTGGATGTGCGAGGAAACACTGTAGCCATACAGTCAGTGATGTTCGTGCATCAAAGCCTCAAGTGTGCACCTATAAGGTTTTCCGTCCCTTCTAGCAGCTAGACCAATTCAATACAAACAAACAGGTCATACCGTTGCCTACAATGATTTACCATATCTCTCTACGACGTCCTAGTTTCCATGAATAAAACCCTAGCAAATTGAACCGACGTACCCTTGGTGGTACATGGGCCTAGCTGGTCCACATTCCAGTGGACGTGAAACTGTGTTGTCATTGGTCTGAAGGTGAGCAACAAAATTGACGCATTTCCAGCAATTATGGGGTTCGGTTTTGCAGTGCAACCTTGTACTTATAGCCACAAATTAACATGTACCCGGTATTCCGTATAGAGCAGATTTTGAGTCCAACACAATTTTTACAGAAAGTCGAGAATATCTTATGTAAAACAGCAAGCACACTAAGAGGCTTAGGTGATTCGTTCGGCATAGTGAGTACGTCTGTTGAACCCCAAGTGCATAGCAAGTGTATCTGTTCGGTAAAGATTTCTATCCCGATGTTCAGACAAGTTACTTGTTCTCCGTGCGACTTTACGTAGAATCAATACAAACTAGTGGATAAACTTCGAAAGAAGCTAACACTGACGAGTTAGTCGACTCACTTTTTCAGTAGAGGCACCTAAACTAGACTTGTTGCACAGACATTAAATTAACAAACTTTGGAATGCTAAATTTGATGGACAGCACTCTAGGGAATATTATTTATTTTTATGGATAGAACACCTTCTTTCCGACGACTGCGGTTTCGATTCACTCCTTCCCAATGCTCTTTGCGTAAATCCTCCTAAAGTGCACTGCTCTGAATACATTCCTGTAACCTAGTTGGAATGCTTTTTGAACAGTGATTCTCATCCCAGCCCGGATTGCAAACTGCTCGCTTTGCAGCTCTGTGACGTCACATGTGAGGTAATAACCGAATATTTCAAGGGTAGACCTATTCTGAAGTTGCAAAAAAGAGCAGTAAAGCATGCATGCTTGGTTCACTTCACATTATGAGACCATATGGCTGCCTACTTATTTCCCAGCATGTTGTTCCACTTCCCCTCGAAATACCGTTCGAAATCACTGAATATTTTTGAACAGCATGTGGGTCGAGATTTTTTTCCATAATCTTTGGGTTACTACAATACTAACGAGGTTAGATGCAAGAGGCGCCTGTTGCTTGCTTGTTTCCTGTCACATCTCATTTGGAAATTAAGATGTTGAATCACGTCATGCTAGAAAGCCTTCCAAGACAGCGGCATAACTGATCGTAGAAAGCATAATAAACATTTGTATTCACAATCTCTATATAAGACAAGATTATTTCGTAAACTTCACTGCGTGTATGCAGATGGTGTCCTATGTTCCTGAATTAGGGGGTATCGCTTGGTCTGAAGAGATCAGTTTACATAGGTGTGTAATGCGTTGCCGTGGTGATTTTTTATTAAAGGAATTCTTTTAAGGCAAAATGATTTCTTGTTGCCGCAGTGATCGGAACTATTCAGGTACTTTAGACCTCCTCTCTGTTTGAAGGATTCCCTATCAATTTTTCGGCTTCACTAATGTCTCGCTTCGGAGATAGTGGCAGGGTGTTTTTTGTTCAGATATCCTGGGTATTAGTCTGGGGCTCTTTTGAGTGCATTCTTGTTCATCTATGGAGATTTCGCTTATATTCAGCGCCTTTTTGTTGGAACTCATTTTGGACGATTCAAACGGATTGTATTACGTGTTTTAGTGACGCTGGTCTTCGAAGAAAGTTGCATCTTGCTTTGGAAGACCTGCGAGTTCATGGATCACCAGGTGTCTCTCGGTTTCCCGGCCCCAGTCATATTCGACCTGAATGGGTGTGCAACACATGGCTGAGGTGCCATCTTGGTTTGACCCATCTGGCGCCATTTTTTTCAATAAGACGCGTTGACGGTCGTATGCTGGCTAGTTTGGCAGTTTGTGGGATATCTAAACCGTCAAATCAAAAGCACCTGACCAAAGGGAATACGGAAGTTCGACTAATTTCCTCGCCGCGCGGACCAGTTGGGGGTGACGGAAGCTTGCCTTCGCTAGGCCCGACAAATATATCAGGCGAGCATGGCCGTGGAGCAAGTCGGAAAGAGTTCTGTCGGATACTGCTAGGAATAAACTTCGACAAATCCTCAGAAAAGGCGCAGTCCGAAGGATTAAGTGGTGCTGACTTGCCACCGGCAGCCAAACATCTCTTTGGCAAGAACGAGGTCAGAAGTTTGCGCGCTGGACTGGAATTGTTGCGGCGGTTCAACTTCGACATCGAGGTCAGTTTTTTTTACCTTATTCGTAGTTCGTAGGATTGTTGGTTTTGTAGCGTGCTCGAGGTGAAATGAAAGTAGAAGATAAACTGCGGTCATCTTTCAAGTAAAAGAATGACCATGCCATCATAAGAAGCCGCCATTTAAGAAACCTCAGGAATAAATCGAGAGTTTGTGTGGTGTCTAGGGTTTCACAATAAGAAACCTCGTAGTTGAAGCACATCCAAGGGAAAAACTTTGTCATCCTGGTTTTCAGCGACATCTCCCAGCAGGAAAGAAAATTAACGGATTAACATCACGGCACAGGCAAATTCGCCATCTTATAATTACATCAAATTTACACCCGTGATTTTTATTCCTTTTTGTTTGCCGTATAAAGCGAACCTTACTGTTTCGAAGCAAGTCAAGAGACATTTTTTGGTTGGAAGCAACTGGTAGGACATTTCGGTGATCGAGGGTGACCGAAAATTGGCTATAGTAGATGGCTGTAGTCAGGTGTTCTGTTTGACTCCTACCAAAGAAGATATCAAGAGACACCGATTGCTTTGCAAGGTACAGTTCACGTACTTTCTAAAACTTGAACATCAAAGCTCATAACTGTCTGCCTAACTTAAACAGACATTTTGGAATTATTACATTACAGAATGGTTTTTGGAATACCGAAAAAACTTCATTAATTGGTGGCTGTCGTTGCGTAACTCTGAGGAGGCTAGAATACTAGTTCCTTCGTCTTGTATGATTCTGATTTCGTCTTGATTGCAGACTTTCAAACAAGTAATACTTCAAATAATGAAACAGCATGATTATCTCAGTATACTTTTACATATAGATAAATCTGCGTACTCAGAGACTGTCTTAAACTATTTTATCCCCAAAAGATTCCTGTCACGTGCGCCCAGGATAGTATGTTGGGTCAATAGTAATTTTTGGCAAGCTTGTGAATTAAGGTCACTTAGAAGTCGTTAGTTCGACGGCTTTACAAATGAAGAGTAGGCCTAAAAAAGGACCGCAATAATCAACCTGATTTGGGAAGGAGGCATGGTTTGATGTAAAATATACCGTTTCTAATTTGTACTTGGCGCCCTTATTGTCGAATATCATTGAGTGTAGCTTCCCTGATTGTTTTTGTAAACGAATATCTGCTCACCTCGCATAACAGCTTCTTGAACGTACACGCGAGTGTGGAAACCGGTTGGACAGCCTACTGCTATGGACCAATGAGGATATCGCCAAGTGGTTGGACACCTTTGGATTACGGGTGAGTATCTTATCTACTGTTCCCAACTGTCTTCGCACCACTTCCAGTCGCCATTTCATCTCATCGTCCCAGTTACTGGCAGTCGAATTTGTTAAGTACTCCCTGCACATCCGTTTTACCTTCTTATTTTCTGTCCTCATTCATCCTTGTCGCGTCTTCTCCTCAGTGTCTTATTTCCGACAGTTAACCATGATACTCTTGTTTGATATTTTTTACCCTGTCCGATAATTGTTTGAGCATAGCAGACAGTATACGACCTTCAGCCAGGATGGGATAAAGCGTCCGATAAACCGAAATAATAAGCACCAGGTATACTTCATCATTGGCGCGTCGGAATATCGTTTGGGCGCGGAAAAACCAAATGATTTGATCGTTGGAAATCGACGTTACTCCCACTTCTTGTTATGGCACAGATACAACGAAGAGGAAATTAGCTCAAAGTCGTTACTTCCTCATAGTATTTATGATGGCGATAAATCTTGCTGTTATTCTTATAGTATGTACAACACAATACGAAAATGCGAGGAAAATATAGATAAAAATTTTATAAACATTACCCCTAGCAAAGTATTTTAAATGGTGATCAACAAGCCTCATACACAATAGCATGTCACTAAGCAATAACTAAAAAATTCACATGAGACACAGACAGCTATTCCTGTCCTGTGATTGAAGGACTGATACCCATTCAAACTTTCTGTTGCAGTTCATGTTAATCTGTTCCGCAATAGTATTCATCCTGCCATCGGCTTACCGTCAGTTACCGGCGCGACCGTAGGTTGTTCGTGCTTACCCGCAGTACTGGACAAAGGAGAGGTGCCGACATCGGTCACCGAGAGTTCTGTGACGCATTTTCTTCTGGCGTCGCTTGAAACATGAAATACCGTGGAGTAGAGGCAGTCTACTCCAAAACTGTCCATAATTTTACTCGGAAAAAACTCGTCACCGTCGACCTTTATTCTGGTAATTACCTCGGTGAATCTCAATATGACAGATGTGATAGACGTAATTAATTTCTCTCAACTACCCTCCTACAACTGGGGAACACACACTGACTCAGGTAGAATTATCACCTGCTGTCTTTTGACAGTGGAGGAATAAATCAGTCGGAAAAAAGCTTTCTGCATCCAAAGGATGGATTAGCATCATCGGACCAATGTGATCTTTAACATTTGTCAAAGGGGTTTTTTAGTGATCTTTAACATTTGTCAAAGGGGTTTTTTATTACGAAACTGATCAAACTTGAGAAATGAAGTAACGTCTCGTGTTTGCAAACAGGATGCGCAGTCATTTCTGGAAACAGTGTCTGTCCGCAAAGGATTATTGGTCTATAACCTGGTGAGTTTTGAGAAACAACAACAAAACAATACATGGAAGTAATACATTGGTCATAATGTTGCTGAAAACTCTAGGGAGCATCATAAACCAGAGATACAAGACTAAATTTGTATGCAAATGAGTGTATTCCGCTAAAACAATGCTTGTTTGTGCGTCTGATGTGAAATGGTGTCTGATGACTATCCTTTTGGCATGGGCATGGAAAACCTTGTCCTATTTCCTAAAACGTCTATTTAGAATCGTTTCATTCGAGAAGAATTTGCAGACCTTGGCCTTGGATTCGGCTAGACTTGTATTAACCATCGATATTTCTTGGTTAAACAGCGTTAAAATATTTCCCAGCAGTTACTGTGCGACGATTGCAATAAGATACCTATGCATACGGTGGATAGTTGAAGGAACAGTATATCATATTAGAAGTGATCCTTTTCCACTTTTGTCTCCAGGCCACATAGCAATGTACACTCAGTTTTTCACAGTATGTAGAGTTTGCTTGAAATGAGCACTTACTAAGATTAATTTTTGTTTTCAAAAGTGGCACTTGAAGCCTCAGACCTTTTCGGTCGATCAGTTACCCTGTTACAGTCCGGGCAGCAATAGCGTCACCGTTTTCCTTATAGGAGGATTTTGCTTGGGCCTAGTCCGAGGCATAAGTCCGCTAAAATATAATGTTTGTCCACTAGTCTTCAAATTTGTTGTGATTTGGCAAAGTTGCTCGCCCTTAGTATGTTGCCTAAACGCGGCCTCATGTTTCAGCTGGAAAGATATTCACAGTATAGAGGTACGTGCTACTGAGTACTACTAACTTTTGTTCTAACTGAAATATGAGGTGATCTTTGTGCAACACTACCCTTCGGAGGATCTTATAAGAACGAACGGTTCAGATGAATTTCGCCTCGATGTATGCTAACATCAAAGTGGTTTTCAAATGACTATTTATTGCAGCGTACATACACTTAGCTGTTCCAGTAAAGCGTAAGTTCGTTCGGGGCACTAGGCCTACCTGATATGTCCCAAGAAAAACCAAAGCCAATGGCAGGGCCATGGACCATTGGCCCTATAAAATAGCACTGGAGAAGTGAGAACCCTTTTCTCCTAATGAGATGCGAACAAAGTGGCATTGTCGATCACCGATTTGGATAGCAAATTTACAGCGACTATACTGGTGTTGCTTCGCTTTTCTTCCAAACGCCAACACATTTGTCTTGACCGATATAAAAGAGGGTTCGGAGTCTGTTGTAAGCCAAATGAGCTTTTATAATAAGAAGCAATTATTTCGACCATATCGATGCAGGAATAAACAACCGCATATTAGTATTGATGGGTGATACATGCAAACCGCTCAACAGCAATGATCTCTTTCGTTCGGCCAGACTCCACCGATCGCCCTAAAATCTCCCATCGAGCATCGCCGCACACGTTTAAAAAGAAGCGCGAATTGAGACCCACATATTTTTCGAACTAACCGTTTCTGCGCCAAAATGAAATGGCAATCGCAACCGCTTTATTACTAATAGATCTATGTACAAAACCAATCGTCATATTGCTGTAGTCGCTAGAGCTCCTATTACTCTGGACTAACGGATTTCAATCAGCCCTGCTACCCTACCGAATTTGCAACTTCACTTCAATGCGTGAGATGTGCCTAAAATCTCAGTCATTGAAGAATTGCATAAACACCCGATTGATTTGTTAGGAATAGTACTTACTTTGTCGTACGGTGCTACAGAAGAATATTAAAAAAACTCGTTCATTTACACATGTTGGATGATCTTTTCTTCAAGTCTATTCAGTCGCGAGCATAATTTATCAAATCCAGTTAACTTGTCGAACACTGCATAGTACTTTTCCAGCTTCGGTGTTGTGTTGGTGAAGAGGATTGCAAATCACGTTTGCTAGTTATGGAGTAGATTCATCAGTGCTTCTTCTTATCATTCCCCTACGAGTGTGTGAACAGGCACCGGATAGACAGCTTATGGAACCAAGAATGAGTAATATCTGTTGATAAGTGCTCTCAATTAGAATTGAGAATCCAATCGGAACTCTTGAGACCCCCAACACGAGGCTGCGTGTACTGAAACTCCGAGATTGTTGTGAACTATTTTTTACCGTCTTCCCCTGCCTTAGTTACAAAAATAGCTTGTCTGTGTTGCAGCATTTTTCTATTCGGCAACAGGACGATCGAGTCTACTGGTTGCGCTATGGGCTCTAGCTCTCTAACAACTATATCACATGTCGGACATTTATCCAGGCTCCGGTGCGTACGAATAGGTAGTAACTTGGGGGAGCATTGCAACAATATTCTCATACCGAAAGCGATCGAAGTCATTACCTGTTTGTTTATTGTAGCTCTAATTTCCGTTTAAAATTCCCGATATGGCGAGCCGACTGCAAGCTGTCAACAGACCTAGGCAAGTTTGTAGACCAACACTGCTCCGTTCTTCTTCAGTTGAAGAACTTACTTCCTCATCACAAACGAGAGATTCAGCTGAGTTCCAGGTGAGTCTCTCGAAGAACCAAATTAGTTTGAAAATGAGCGTATATTCGTTTACTTCATCAGAGTTCCAAAAAATCTCCCGTGAAGCCCAAATTGTTATGCAACTGAGTGTATTTGCATAAAATTACTCCCTGCCTGTGTCAGCCACACAGTCTCAAACGCAGCAAGATGTTTAACTTAATGAAAGCCCATTGTGTCATCAGAAGAATTTGAATGTATCAACAACCATGTCTGATATGCAAATATGTACCAGCTTGCAGTGAACCAGTATATATGCGGCACCCACCCGAACGAAGGACACTCGTAGCAGAGGTTGGAGAGAACATCAATGTTATTACTCGAGCCAACAGTAATGACTGTACCGCAAATTTGAATAAGAATACGATAAAACACGTAACTAAGGGTGACATCGTTACCGTCTTCTAAAGAAATGGCATTATGATGTATAGACCAACTCTGTTATCCACCAACATAGCAACAAATGAAAATCCTTCATTTTACACATGCCATCTATATTAGCGCCAAAAAAACTACGTTCGTTTCAACATTTGTACGTGATATAATTATTAATGTTTTGCTTCCTGAAACATCAAAGTTTGCAGAAAATTTCCACGCATTTTCACAAAAAGGAAGAGTTTATCGTAACGAAGTGGCACAATATTACATTAAGTTTTGGTTTGTAGTAGACTGGGGGTTCTACTGTGTCCTACATGCAAGCCATCTTACAACGACATGGCTGGCTGTCCATGTGATCATGAGTTTGAATGTAATGTCTCAATCCTGACCATACGGCTATACGAGCTAACTCATGTTCCTCTCATAATCCATGAAATATAACTTTAAAAATGTTAAATATAACGTTTAGTGAGAGTGTTGGCCGCGGGTTAGGGCATTGCTTTCTTCTTGGGCTGCGTTTCATATTGCTGATTCCACACCTGTTTGAATCGATCTGCTCTCTACATTTGCCATACTCTGACCAGTACTGGTTTCTTCTTGAAGGTTCACAGCTATCTAAAGAAGCTTCAAGACAGTAAGCTTCTTACAGGCGGCCAACACCTAACGTCGTCTACCCAGAACAAGACAACTTAAGGATGGGGCTGCTGAAGATTTGTTTAGTCTACACAGTTATGTTGAATGTTCGACAGATTGCCGCACAGATGTGCATGGCGTGGCATTACCAGACAATGTTTGTGCTTGTGGTCCGATCTTACGACGAACTCTAGAGGCTCTGGTCGTAGTTAGAATACTTAATCTGTCGCGGACCACCTTTAGGACAGCGTCAATCTGATCCGTCCATAGTTGTACTCTTCTACCCAGAAAAGTCAATAATGACCTTTTTTTGGAGGGCCTCTATTGGAAGAGACAACTGAGCATAGATGCCATAAGGCCTCAGTTACAATCAACCCAGCCTCCTAATTTCCCAGGGTAACTTAGGTTTTACCACTGTACTAGAGACTGATTAGTCAAATGAGCAGTTGGCGCGTAGTTTTTTTTACATCCCAAATGTCGTCATAGAAACAGATGGAGCTTCTATATCCGGACTTTTAATACGAACGTTGTCCTATGAAAGATAGGATATGTTGGTTTAAAGATTGCGCGACTGAAGCAATTCATTTCTGTTTACAGATAGCGCCCTAGAAATAACATCGATACTGTCTATCCTTAAGAAATCACTTTTGACTTGCTTTAAAAGTGGAACTTTGCAGTAGCGATCATTTTAGATTGGTTCTTTGGGGTTTATTTGTGAGAACAAACGTACGTTTATGTACATTTACTGTGACCAACCTTTAGGGGAAATCACTTCCAATCGGACTTTTTGAGTTAGTAAGGTTATTCTTTTTTAAAAAACCGTCGACAGGACTTATCAAAAGTGATCCCCTTTCCATATAGGGCCTTCTCTACGAGGGGCCTAGCAACCAAACTAAACCACATGGTCTCCTGTGAACTGTAATGCTTATAAAATTGTGCTACATACCAAAATCAATTTGTGGACTTCTTTCTCCCTAAAATGAGCTACTTCGTATTTCGGCCGGTTAAATATATAGTTTGTAGGCAAATTTTTATTCTAGACGTTTTTTAGAGGGGATTTTACTCCACTGAGACATTCAGGATGGTCTTTGTTGGGGAGAGGGTTTATAAGTGGTCTCTCAGGCGACATCAAATTCCAACCTGAGTCGCGTGGGATTGGAGTGATGTAGTCTTAAATGAATGGCTAACTCTGCTTGGTGCCAACACCAAGGCCCAACAAGGAGTGGATCGGAACAGCGGTCATTCCATACAAAACAGGGACATCTGAAGTCACTAGAAGGGTACTGAATACGGCTAAAATTATAGTAGCTTTCCAGAAGGGGAAACTGTACGCTCGGTATTGGTGCATATGAAGTATCGCCTTCCGGATAGGACTGGGAACTGTGTATACAAGATAAAATGTAACGTTTGTACGAAGGTTTATGTAGGTCAGACAGCCAGGGAATTGCACACCAGAATCGGTTAGCATAAGCGTTCCATTAAAAGACCACCGAGAAACGCAGAGGAATACCAGGCGTTAGTCAAAGATTCAGCAATGACAGGGCATGCTCTAGACACTGGGCATAGGATAGATTTAGAAAATGTGGACATCCTGAGACGGGGTTTAAGATTCACACCACAGCGACAGGTGGCCGAGGAGGTGGAAATCGCCAAGCATCCCAGCGTGAATAGAATAGAGGGGGTAGAAATTGCAAACGGGTGGAGAGAGGTCTTAGATCAGCCGAGATGACACGAGGCGGTGTGCAGTTATCAGCGAAATCGCCTGAACCAAAAAAGTACAAAATCCAAGTAGAGTTAGATCCAATTAACCACCCCACCCCCATCCCCAAACCAATTGTCCCAGCACCCTTGGATGAACACAGGTGAACGAAATCTGTGAACGACCCCAAAGGGGAATTTTCCATTAAGGTGTCCTTGACTGAAGAAGCAAGGACGAAGAAATCCGGGTTCATCATAAAGACGAATCCTCCCTAACCAATCCATTGTAAATCTTAGTCATTCCACTAATCAACAAGCAGGAACATCAGACTTAATACCCAGCACTGATCACGTCACTGTTCATAAGGAATCTCACGGATTGGTTCCCCGACTGCCTTAAAACCCAATCAACCTACTTACTCACTTGGCCTGACGAAGCTTTTGTGTCAAAAGCGAAACGTTGCCCAGCAATAAATCCACCAGTTGTTTACCAAACCCATCTGAAACGGTCTACTAGTTGTATCTTTTTCGGAAGAGACTGCCATGTATGTCAAAGATGCGCTTCTTCCAAAATAAGTTAACAGCAAATCATTGCTAATGGGTGTCCTCAATAACGTTTGAACCTTTTTGTTAGATAATCTCTGTTGTATCCGATGGAATTTATTGGGACGTAGACAACGCAAGGTGTTTTTGTGACTGTTGTCGACTTCAACCATGTTCAAGCCACGAATTACTTTCTCTTTTTTTAGAAGGTTCGCCTTTTTTTCAAATTACCGGGTAACCTATCTGCCTATCTACACAGTGCGTCAGTATATCTGAAACTGGGACTGAAATACCGAATCTGTCGGGGCATTTAGTTGCTGATTCCTGTTCCCCAGCCATGCTTAGAGTGAGGTGGTGTCACCGCCGGTTGTCGTAAGGCTATATTTTGCACTGAAGGCATAGTCTTTCTCGGTATCGATAAGTTTCCTCAATGGCTTTAAGAACAAAAGAGCGTTATCATAGATACAGTTGCTGAACACTGTCAATCTATTGTGCAATCCAGTTGCCCGGTAACTTGGTGCAGAGCACACAAAATCACACCTTCCTGTTCGAGCCGGATATTGTGTTCAAACTATGGTACTTTTTTCGGTTTCTAATAGCATCTCTAGAGCGATACGAGAAGAGTTGTTCCAAGATGATTTCTCCGCATCATCCTCTCCTCTAATCCGACTGGACCGGATTCTAACTTCATGGTGTACTACTGTAGAGTGAAGAGCCAAACTGATGCACCCTACTGTTATAAACGTTCGCGTATACATCTCCAAAGGTTTCGTACTTCCTCAGCCATAGAGTAACATGGGTACATGTTGGATCAATGGGCCCAGATAATAAAAGTCGTGTTGATAGAAAATCTCAGTTACACCCTCTATTAAACAGGCATAACATCCAGGAGTCATTTTTAGCTGTAAACCCTAAAAAGAAGCTCGAAAAAAAAACAAAATACTAACGTCAATGGGCAGTCGTAGGAGGATCTGCTGCATTCACGCATAGAGATGTTAGCTTTGTCGTTTTCCTTGTGATTGGATGAGAATGGAACCAGTATGAATCCATATTTGTGTTTAAGCTTCTTTGTACCAGAATTTTTGTCATAAAATACCTCCTTGTCGGCTGATGACAAGACAGCTTTTTCTCGGGGAGCTGGTTTTTTCCTGTCACTGCCGCATGGGATCAGTTGACCAACGGGACCCAATAGTATCTGTTTAAGTCCCGTAGAATTTTGATAATATAAATTTATCATTGTTTTTTTCTTTGTGCGCATCGAGACTGTTCTGACAATTCTATGAAAAGCAACTAAAAATTACTGCTCTTGAAGAATCTGAAATTAGAGCCTAGGTTTAATCATTTCATGTTACCTGCTGCAGCTGAAGCTACAGCATTCTTCAACAACCTTTTCGGAAGCAGATTTTTATTTCACTTGGCGCATTATTTTCACAATATTAGTCACGCCCTCGTTCTTCTACGATTCTTCTAGCTTGGTTGAAAAATGCATTAGTTTTGATTGAATTACGATTTTTCTGGCCTACGATACTTCAGAAGTATACACACTAGTAACTGAAGGTTGCAAAGTTCACTCGATTGCATTCCATTTTATCCGAACTAACTAGAAACAACCTACTAATTTCGGCTACTTGTTCTAGTGATTTTTAACGATAATCCAATCAGATGTGGTAACCTTATCCGATTTCATTGCTAGAATGCTCTCTTTCCGTTTACCCTTCTTGGTTCACCTGGATTTTTTGTGCGAATTCTTAAATCTGTGAACTTGGTCCGCAGTAAGCCGTGGTACAGAAATACTTGCGAATAGAATGCCCGTGAGTAAATCGCAGCCCATAGGGTGGCGTCAGTCTTCAACTTATTAATTGAGAGTTTAGGAATGCAGTGGTACTCTTTTGCTAACTGTGAGGCCTTTCGAATGACATTAGATGAAGTTAACACACTAGTCAAATCTGACAAAGCAAATTAGTTGGATGGGAAATCTGAGGATGAATACACCTTGTGACCTCTGATGGTAAGTGAACCCAGCTTAGATTTGGAGGACGTAGGGCTTACTTAAACTAAGTGTTCAGGCGCTACTGTTGCACCGATCGTTATTCAGGGGCAGATAACCTACATGACTCAGCTTTGCAATTTATCCGCATGTCCTTAGGAAGATTTGGTGGCTCCTGACGTGAGGAGTATATCAAGCTGTTCCCCTCTGTACGGTTGATTTTACTAATGCTGACCAGTCTGTTCGTTCATTGTCACCTACTGTTGCGTTTCAAGAAGGAAAAAAATACCTCAGATCTTATCGTATTTGTTATAACGGAAGCCTGTGACTTTACCAGTACTGGAGGAATAAAGATTTATACGGATGCTTCGCTTATTTGGGACCGTACTTGATGGATACATATATGTTCACATGCTAAGTAAAGGGCACCCACAGCCTGCGGATCCCGAGACGTGAGCTGATTCGGCCCGCGTATCCAATCTAGGCCACCAAAAATGCACCCCTAAGTTACCTAAAGGGTTCTTTTGTCCAATGGAAGCCCTTTACAAGTTCCTCTCATCATATGATAGGGTGGTGCCGGGACCCAGATATTGCTGACTGGCCACTTGGTTGTCCATTCCCGTTTACATGGCATCGTGACACGCCTTCCCAGAAGGGTAGTTTAGTCCGGTGAAGTGTCGTATTCTACTTCGAAGGTGGCCGTCATCAAGCGCATGCGTGTGTCTACTGAGATTTCGTCCTATAAGTGAGTTCAGTCTATGCCGAAAATCAACTGTGGTGAGGTGTGTGCCGATGATAATTCCATTGAGAATGAAGCGGGTGTAGAGTGCTAAACGGCTTTTTAATATGGGTGACTCTACTTACAGGTCGACATCTCTGAGTGTTTGTTGACCGATATAAACTCCTCGGTTTCAACGCGGCATCACTGCTTTTCACGATCCAAGGAATTAAGCCCGGCGTGAACTGCTTTTGTTTTGCTCAAGACGAACAGGCATCCAAAGTTGCAACTCTTCTTGTTTGACGGTTCTATTTTGGACACCAGCCGTATCTAGGTTAAATCCAGTAACTAATAACCCCTGATTCTGCCATGGTTCTTTCGTTATACGCAGGCGTACACTCATGGTATCAATAACACCGGTCTCCATGGGGCCTATATGGTTCTGGATCCAACGTTCAATGTGAATCGGTTAGTCAAGCAACTCCGACTGCCTCAGACAATGGTGTCCAACTACAACCTGGACGCACGCCTTCAGGAACTACTCAAACCAGCACGGTAATTTTACAAGTCTACGTGATAACTGCTCATTACGCGGCCCAAACATCTTTTTTGTATTTTATAACCAAGTCAAATTTACTTCAAGCAACCAGGTGCTAATCGGTACGGGCACGGGAATGATTAACGGTGGCTGGACTGGAAGCAGTTGTCGACCAGGGAGGACCCAACCATTGTGTTCGTGATAGCCGCTAAATAAGTGGGATTATACTACAGAGGTAATACACTACTCATAAGGTTGCTAGGTGCTAATACGGGCACGGGAATGATTAACGGTGGCTGGACTGGAAGCAGTTGTCGACCAGGAAGGACCCAACCATTGTGTTCGTGATAGATAGTAAATAAGTGGGATTATACTACAGA